GCGAGCTGAAGCCTCTCAAGCCTGGCCAGACTGGACAATCGCGGGATAACGCTCAGTTTGTTGTGGGAGAGATCCAACCTCTCCAACGGGAGCCGGTAATCGGCCTGGAAGTGGGCGATCTGGTTGTTGGACAGGTCCAGGTTTCGGAGTTGAGGGAGATCTTTCAAGGAGCTCAAGGAGACGGACGTCAGAGAGTTGTGGCTCAAGATCAGGACATTTGTGTTCGGAGGGAGAGCCTGAGGGACAGACACAAGTCCTCGGGCGCTGCAATTGGTTATAAAATTACCTGACAAGTCCGGGCCGGTAACGCGAGTGTTCTGCGCGACAGATGAACCCAAAAGGTATGTGCAGAAGAGAGTCAGGAGGTGTGGGATTGTGGACACCCCCATTTCCTGCAACAGATGTTTGTTTTTAAGAGAATTAGGAGCTCCTGTAGCTCAGGGGTTAGACCCCTCCCCTCGCACCCCACAGCCCCTGTAGCTCAGGGGTTAGACCCCTCCCCTCGCACCCCACAGCCCCTGTAGCTCAGGGGTTAGACCCCTCCCTCGCACCCACAGCCCTGTAGCTCAGGGGTTAGACCCTCCCTCGCACCCCACAGCCCCTGTAGCTCAGGGGTTAGACCCCTCCCCTCGCACCCCACAGCCCCTGTAGCTCAGGGATTAGACCCCTCACCCCACAGCCCCTGTAGTCAGGGTTAGACCCCTCCCCTCGCACCCCACAGCCCCTGTAGCTCAGGGGTTAGACCCCTCCCCTCGCACCCCACAGCCCCTGTAGCTCAGGGGTTAGACCCCTCCCTCGCACCCCACAGCCCCTGTAGCTCAGGGGTTAGACCCCCCCTCGCACCCCACAGCCCCTGTAGCTCAGGGTTAGACCCCTCCCTCGCACCCACAGCCCCTGTAGCTCAGGGGGTTAGACCCCTCCTCGCCCCCACCCCACAGCCCCTGTAGCTCAGGGGTTAGACCCCTCGCCACCCCACAGCCCCTGTAGCTCAGGGGTTACCTGCCTGGTAATCGAACCCAGGTCCTCCTCTTGCTTGTGAGGCGAGGGCTCTAACCACAGAGCTGCAGGACTCGACACGCAGCTCTCAGGGAGGATCTGGAATAAATGTGGCACAAATGACCAGTTTCATTAACCGCTGAAGCTCCCGCAGTGAGATCGCACAGCAGTGGGTGGGAGGGGAGAGGGGAAGTGAAGAGGTCCCAGGCAATGGTGATATCGCCCACAAACTATACAGTCACTACACCTTACAGTGTGTCCCGTGAAGCGCTTTGAGACGTCTCGAAGACGTGATCGGGCGCCGGGTCAGGTTATAACATGGGTGATGGACCCCAGACTCACAGAACCTTGTGGCCGGTGTCGGAGGTCCAAAAATTATTGCTGGTAAACGCAGGCGTGTGTGTGTGTGTGTGTGTGTGTGTGTGGAGTAAGGAAACTTGCTGAAGGTTTTGTCTCGAGTCACCATTGGCGGGAGAGCCTTCAGCCACTCTGCCCCCATCCCCCAGTCACTCCACCTCGCCCCCTCCTCAGCCTCCTTCAGGTCCCGCCTCAGGACCCTCCTCTCCGACCACGCCATCGGCCATCCCCTTCCCCTCCAACCCCGGCTCGGGTCTGAAATGCTGTACACTGTCCAGCGCCTTGGGACGTCCTCCCGACGTGAGAGGCGCTATACACATGTAATCTTGTTGTTGTTGTTGTTGTGTCCTGTAGGGCAGTGGTTACAGCACTCGCCTCGCAAGCGAGAGGACCTGGGTTCAGTTTCCGGGTCAGCGCATTACGTAAAAAAATAATAATAGTATTAATGTGGTCACTCAATCCACGACTGTTTGTGGGACACAAACTGCTGTACGCAATTGGCTGCCGCGCTTCGCCCACAAAATACACAGTCACTACATTTTCCAGTATATTCTGTGAAGCGCTGTACTAATCGTGTTCAAATCCCTTCACTCTCTGGCACCTCCCTCCCTACCTCTCTGACCCCCTCACTCCCCAATCCACCACCCACGCCTCCGCTCAACTGGCACCAGCCTCCTGCTCGCCCCTCGCACCCTCCACCCCATCAACTGAGGTCGCACTTTCAGCCACGACTCCCCGAAACCTTGGAACACTCTCCCTCAATCCCTCCACCTCGCCCCCCCTCTCTCCCGTCTTTCAAATCCTGTCTTAAAACCTTCCTCCCTTCCTTTTAATAATAATAATCCTTCCCAACGTCTCAAAGCGCTTCACAGAATATGCTGTAAAGTGAATTGACTGTATATTTGTGGGCGAAACCGTGCTTATGGCCACCTCCCTACCCCACGCCCGGCTCAGAGTCAGGCTCCGGCCGTTGTTAAGCGCTCTGAGACGCTGCCCTGAGTGGAGGGCGCTGTATGAGTTGTTGTCGTTGTTGTAAATCCAGGTTTCTGGAGGATATGGAGGCTCGGGTGGAGGAGAGCGTGAGGATATCTGACGTGTGTGACATTATCCACCATCACGCACAGAAATACTTCCAAATCTACATCAATTACGTTCGGAACCAACTGTACCAGGAGCAGAAGTACAGCCACCTCATGTGAGTCTGAGCCGGCCAGGTTACACGTCAGGGATTTCATGCCGATCGGCAAGATTGGCGAGAGCCAAGGCTCGGGTGGAGGGGAGCCCAGAGTGTGAGTCGGGGTACCTGCGGGAGTCCAACCCGCTAAAACCACACATAGCTTGACCATTGAGAGCGCTGTCTGTCCAGCTGGGACCACCCTACCCGTCAGGGCTTTGGCTGGCAGGGTTAACGGTTGAGTGCGTTCCTGCTTACTGCTGGTAAACAGTGGCGTTCGCGTGGAGTAAGGCAACTTGTCTAATGACCCGCCCGGGAATCGAACCCAGGTCCTCTCGCTCGCGAGGCAAGGGCTCTGACTACGACAGAGCAGGACTGCAGTGTGTAGGGACTCAACCTCCGCTCACTCTCTCCCCACAGGGAATCCAACAGTCACTTTGCCGCGGTCATTGTCCGGCTACAGGAGTTGCCTGACTGCCAGCGGCTGCCCCTCATGTCCTTCCTCCTGCTTCCCTTCCAACGCATCACCCGCATCAAGATGCTGATCGAGGTACAGTTACCTTACACACACATAAGCATTCACACTCACTCACACACGTGCGCACACATACGTGCACACACGCATACGTGCACACATGCACACGCATGCACACACGCACATTTCATTGTCAACCACGCACACTATGATTAATGTGGGGTCCTGTAGTTTAGTGGTTAGAGCACTTGCCCAGTAAGATTGACAGATCACTTTCTGGGGGTAATAAGCCCTCAAAAAAAAATAATAATTTGGTCACTCAATCAATGACTCAATCCAATGACACGTGCACACACACACACACACACACCACGCAGAGCCGGGCACACACACACACACAGAGCCGGGCACACACCACACGCAGAGCCGGGCACACACCACACGCAGAGCCGGGCACACACCACACACAGAGCCGGGCACACACCACACACAGAGCCGGGCACACACCACACACAGAGCCGGGCTAACACACACACACACGGAGCCGGGCACACACACACACACACGCAGAGCCGGACACACACACACACACGAAGAGCCGGGCACACACCACACGCAGAGCCGGGCACACACACACACACAGAGCCGGGCACACACCACACGCAGAGCCGGACACACACCCACACACACGAAGAGCCGGGCACACACCACACGCAGAGCCGGGCACACACCACACGCAGAGCCGGGCTAACACACACACACATACACAGAGCTGGGCTAACACACACAGAGCCGGGCACACACACACACACACACAGAGCCGGGCTAACACACACACACAGAGCCGGGCACACACCACACGCAGAGCCGGGCACACACCACACACAAGGTCGGGCTGACGCTCCTGTTTACTGTCACGTTTAGAACATTCTGCAGAAAACGAAGGAGGGTTCAACCAACGAGGAAAACGCCACGAAAGCTTTAGGCGTTGTTTCCAAGGTAAGAGAAGCATCTGTAACCTCTCTCCCTCTAACCCTCCACTTTGCCCCCTCCCTCGCCTCCTTCAAGACCCGTTCCCAAGACGTGAAAGTCGCTGTGTAGATGTCCTGTGTTGTTCTCTTCCACGTCTCAGATCATTGACGAGTGCAGTGCGGAGGTGGGGAAAATGAAACAAATGGAGGAACTGATAGACATCGCGAAAAAACTGGAGTTCGATAAACTGAAGGTAAAGCGCTTCTACCAACAGGATTTGAGAGAATTAGGAGCCACAGGTCATAAGCTAATAATAATAATCCTTGCATTTGATGCAGTGCCTTATCATGTCATCGAGACGTCTCGAAGCGCTTCACCGGATAAACGGTAAAGTGTAGTGACTGCATATCTTGTGGGCGAAACGCGGCAGCCAATTGCGCGCAGCAGCAGATTGAGTGACCACATCCTTGATTTTGGAGAGATTATTACCCCCGGAAAGTGATCCCCCAGTTGACTAACAAGCGGGTTCCTAGTTACCGCGAGGTAAACAGGGGCGTGTGGGTGGAGTAAGGGAAATTGCCTAAGGTTTCCGCCTGACCCTCCAGGTCTCTTGCTTGCGAGGCGAGTGCTCCAACCGCTGAGCTACACTACATCAAGTCGGGGTTCAGGGCTTGGGTTTTAGAAGCTCAGACTACGTATTTGTCTTTCAGCGCCTTGGGACGTCCTCCCGACGTGAAAGGCGCTCAATAAATGGAATCTTGTTGTTGTTGTTGTTTCAGGCCATTCCCATCATCTCCCAGGCCAGATACCTGGAGAAGCGAGGAGAGATCACCGAGATCAGCCAACGAGGAAACCTCTTCGGAATGAAGCCCAAAAGTGTGGCTTTGTACCTCTTCCTCTTCAACGACCTGCTGCTGATCACCAGCAGGAAAAGGCAAGGATACCAACAAACCCTTAACAGCCCGACAGCAACGCATGACAGTTACACAGCGCCTTTCGCCTTGGGAGGATGTCCCAAGGTGCTGGACAGTCAGGGATTTAGACCTGAGCTGGGGATTGGGATGAGGAAGAGTGGAGGGCAGGGAGGGTGGGGAAGTTAGGAGGGTGGAGGGCAGGGAGGGTGGGGAAGTAAGGAGGGTGGAGGGCAGGGAGGGTGGGGGTGTAAGGAGGGTGGAGGGCATGGAGGGTGGGGGGGTAGGACGGTGGCCGAACATGCGGTCGAAGTGGAGGATCTTGAGACGCGCTTTGAAGGAGTTCCAGATTTTCAGAGGTTGGGGGAGAGCCTGAAGGCCCAAATTCCAATGGTGCGTTGGGCAGGGGAGGGAACGCGGAGCAGTCCGGAGCCTGCTGAGCGGAGGGAGTGGACAGGTCGCTATGGGGTTAGCAACAACAACAACAACATTCCATTTATTGAGCGCCTTTCACGTCGGGAGGACGTCCCAAGGCGCTGTACAGTTGGGTCAGGACCCGAGCCTTGGGGGGGAAATGATCAGGGTGAGGGGAGGGAAGGGAGGGAGCGAGGAGGGGGTAGAGAGTCGAGAGCGGAGCTGAAGGCTGAAGGTCAAAGAGAAAGGTCTTGAGACCGGCCTTGAAGGAGGAAAGGGAGGAAGTGGAGAAGGCACTGGGGATGGAGTTCCAGAGCCTCGGGGCTGAGAGGCTGAAGGCCACCGATGGTAGGGCGGTTGGGGCGGGGGATGTGGAGCAGACCGGAGCCAGAGGAACGGAGGGTATGGGCAAGTAGGTAGGGGGATAGTAGGTCGGAGAGGTAGGAGGGAGCGAGGCCGTGAATGGCCTTGTAGGTGAGGATGAGGATCATGAATTCGATCCTCTGGGGGATGGGGAGCCAGTGGAGGCGAGCGAGGGTGGGAGTGATGTGGTCCCGAAGTCTGGTGCGGGACAGTACACGAGCTGCAGAGTTCTGAATGACCTATGGCAGGTCACACAGGTAGGGAGGAGTGAGGCCGTGGAGAGCTTTGATGGCGAGGACGAGGATTTTGAACTCTATCCCCTGGGGGATGGGGAGCCAGTGGTGCCAGGTGAGGGTAGGGGTGATGGGGTCACAGAACCTGGTCCAGGAGAGAACACAAGCTGCAGAGTTCTGAATAATCTACATCTTGTGGAGGGAAGAGTTGGGAAGGCCGACAAGTAGGGAATTGGCATAACAAATGGTATATGGGAGCAGCAGGGAGTGAGCTAATGGATGGTGTGTGATGGTGTTTGCAGCGCAGACCGGTATCTGGTGATGGATCACGCTCACCGCTCTATGGTGGAGGTACACAGTTGTACCCAAAGCTCTGAGAGGCAGAACTGTTTCCTGCTGACGTTAATCGAGAACCATCAGGGGAAACAGCTCGAGCGACTGGTCAAAGTACACACACAGTGAGTAACAATCCACGCGATTACTTTTGTTTTGGCCGGCCGGCCGGGTACCGAATCTCATCACCGTGCTTAAGAGAGAGAGACTCAGAGAGAGACTCAGGGTGTCCGACACACGTGGAAACCCATTACCGTTGCCGCGAAGCGCTTTGAGACGTCTCGAAGACGTGATAAGGCGCTGTATCAAATGCGAGGGATGATTATTAAAACAATCTTCCCACTCTCAGGTCTGACCTGCAACGCTGGCTTGATGCTTTACCCGCCCACAAACTCCACAGTTCAGAAAGTTTCAGCGATGAGAAAATCTACGAACAATGGGGTGAGTATGCACATGGGGAGGAGAGGGGGCAACTGGAGTCCTGGAGTGCAGTGGTTAGACCCCTCGCCTCGCAAGCGAGAAGACATGCGTTCGATTCCCGGGTGGGTCAGGTCAGGGCAAGAGCTTAGGTAAGGTTCCTTACTCCTCTCACACACAGCAGTAAGTAGGACTCCGGTTGTTAGTCGATTGGCGGATCGCTTTTCCGGGGGCAATAAACCCTTCAAAACAGGACTGGTCAATCAGGATAAAATATCACTTATATGGCTCTCGTTGGACCTCACCATCTCTAATTGACTGTTCCTCTTGTCAGACTGTCCACAGGTGCAATGTTTGGTAGCGTACACAGCCCAGCAAGCCGACGAACTCAGCCTGGAGCCGGCAGACCTCGTCAACGTCACCAGGAAGACACCGGAGGGTGAGTCCACAGGCGTCCGCTTCCCTTCTGCTTCAACAACGATGACAAGTTGCATTTACGCAGCGCTCTTTGCGTGGGGTAGCATCCCGGAGATCCTGACAGTGGCGGAGTCTGACCCCGAGCCAGGGGGAGAGGGAGGGGGGGGGAGAGGGAGGTGACCGTAAACATGATCAAAAAGGTCTTTCAGCGGGAATTGAAGGTGGGGAGAGAGGGCGCGAGGCAGAGGGATTGAGGGAGAGGGTGACAGAGTTTCGGGGCATAGAGCCCTCGCCTCGCAAACAAGAGGACTCTGGTTCCATTCCCGGGTGGGTCAGGGCGAAACCTGAGGCGACTTTCTTCTCTCCATACACACACACACACTCCTCTGATTACTGAGCAGTAAATAGGAACCAAACTGTTCGTCGATTGGCGGATAATAATTCCTTCAAAAAATTGAAATGTGGTTACTAAATTCGTGTCTGTCTGCGGGAACATTCGCTGCCATGTTTCACCCACAAAACCACAGTCACTCCACCTTACATTATATTCCATGTAGCACTTTGAGACGATGTAATAAGGCGCTATAGCAAATGCATAATTATTATTATTATTATTACCCTCTGACAGGCTGGTACGAGGGGACTAAGCTGTCCACTGGAAAGAAGGGTTGGTTCCCCAGTACGCAGGTCCGGGAGATCACAGACGAGCATGTGAGGCGGAGGAACCTTCGGGATCGATCCCGGCTGCTGCGAGCAGCGCAGGAGCTCCAGCGGAAACATCGGCCCAAGGAGAAGAAGCGAAATGTCGTGTCCTTGTAACTCAACCGGTGGGAAACTGCGTCTACCTGTGAGAGAGAGAGAGAGAGAGAGAGAGAGAGAGAGCGAGACCCAGGGAGGGGAGCGATTGACCTCCGCATTTCGCCGAGTGGTTAGAGGGCTCGCCTCGCAAGCGAGAGGATTTGGGTTTGATTTCTGGGCAGGTCAGGGGGAAACCTCAGACACGTTTCATTACTCCACACACACACACACACACACACACTCCTCTGTTTACCAGCAGTAAGTGGGAACCCGCGCAAAAAAACAAAACAAACAAGAAACGCGGTCACTTCAACCCACGACTGTTTGTGGGGACGCCCCTGTGTGCAATTGGCTGCCGAGTTTCACCCACAAAATACACAGTCACTACACTTCACAGTGTATCCTGTGAAGCGCTTGGAGACGTCTCAACGCCGTGATAAGGCGCTGTATCAAAGGCAAGGATTATTATTAATGTAATTGTTGTTGTTGTTAATACGCTCGCTCAGCAGCTCCGATCTGCTCCACGTCCCCCGCCCGGCCCACCACCAACAACAACAACAAGATTACATGTGTGATCACGTCGGGAGGATGTCCCAAGGCGCTGGACAGTGACAGCATTTCGGACCCGAGCTGGGGGTCGGGGGGGGGAGAAGGGAAGGGGAGGGGAAAGGGGGGTGTGGCCGATGGCATGGTCGAAGAGGAGGGTTTTGAGGCGGGACTTGAAGGAGGCTGAGGAATGGGCGAGGCGGAGTGACTGGGGGATGGAGTTCCAGAGGTTGGGGGCAGAGTGGTTGAAGGCTCTCCCGCCAATGGTGCGGCGGGTGGGGCGGGTGACGTGGAGCAGCCAGAGCCGGCTGAGCGGAGGGAGCGGGCGGGTTGGTAGGAGGCTGCAGAGGTAGGGTGGGGCGAGGCCATGGAGGTGAGGACCAGGATCTTGAACTGGATCCTCTGAAGGATAGGGAGCCAATGGAGTCGGGCAAGAGTGGGGGAGATGGGGTCACGGAGTTTGGTGCGGGAGAGGACACGGGCTGCAGAGTTCTGGATTATCTGCAGCTGTGGAGGGAGGAGTCTTCAACCTCTCGGCCTCCAACCTTTGGAACTCCATCCGACAGTCGCTCTGCCTCATCCCCTCTCTCGTCTCCTTCAAGGCCCATCTCAAGACCCTCCTCTTCGACCGCGCCTTCAGTCACCCTCCTACCCCCACCCTCCCCGCCCTCCACCCACTTCTGATCCCAACCCCCAGCTCGGGTCTAAATCCCTGATTGTCCAGCCCCTTGGGACGTCCTCCTGGCGTGAAAGACGCCGTGTAAATGTCACTTGTTGTCGTTGTTGGCTCCGCTATTCCAGACAAACCTCCTGAACTTTAATAAAAAGGTTAATTATTTTTAAGAAAAAATAGTGTTTGTTGGATTGAGTTCTGAAATATTTTCCTGTCACTCTGCCTCGTCCCCTCTCTCGTCTCAAATCTCAAGACCCCCCTCTTCGACCGTGCCTTCAGTCACCCTCCTACCCCCACCCTCCACCCATACAAAAGGAATTTTACAACTTGACTTTCAGGCTTTCCTACACTGACAAAAACTCGAGTCGTTTAGTGCAGTCGTTAAGAGCCCTCCCCTCGCAAACGAGAGGACCTGGGTTTGTTTCCTGAGCGGGTCGGGGCGAAACCTTAGGCAAGTCTCCTTACTCCACACACACACACACACACACACACACATATTCACACACACACACGCCTGTTTGCAATAAGTAGGAACTCGCTTGTTAGCCAATTGGCAGATCACATTCCGGGAGAGACCTCCCCTACCCTCCCCGCCTTCATCCCCCTCCCGATCCCAACCCCCAGCTTGGGCCCTGTTACCTGATGGTCCATCGCCTTGGGATGTCCTCCCGACATGAAGGGCGCAATACAAATGTAATTTATTGTTGTAGAGACTGTTTGGCTTCGAGATAGCATTGGGGCTTTTGAAGCTTACGAGACCCTCATCCACAGGTTCATCACATCCAGGCTCGACTACGCAAACTCCCTACTTGTCGGCCCCCCCAACTCCTCCCTCCACAGGCTGTAGATCATCCAGAACGCTGCAGCCCGTGTCCTCTCCTGCACCAAACTCCGTGACCCTATCACCCCCATCCTCGCCCGACTCCACTGGCTTCCCATCACAGAGGATACAGTTCAAAGTGCTGGTCCTCACCTTCAATGCCCTCCATGGCTTTGCTCCTCCCTACCTCTGTGACCTCCTAACCCATCAACCATCTGCTGCCTCCGCTCAGCGGACTCCATCCTGCTTCACGTCCCCACCTTGCCCGCCCCACCATTGGCAGGAGGACCTTCAGCCTCTCTGCACCCACCCTCTAGAACTCCATCCCACAGTCCCCCTGCCTCGCGCTCTCCCGAGCCTCCTTCAAGACCCGTCTCAAGACCCCCTTTTCAAAGGTGCCTTTGGTCACCCTCCAACCGCTACCCTCCCTGCCCTCCACCCCTCCTGACCCCAACCCCCGTGGAACCAATTCCTAATCAAACCACAATCTTGTTTTCAAGGCAATTTATTTTTGGTTTTGCCCTTAGGATCTGGCTGTGCCCTTTGCTCTTTCCTCCCAACCTCCCCCAGTTTGTGTTGAACTTAGGTTGTTCGGAGGGTGGACTTTGGTTCAAGACGATTTGAAATAAAACCTGAATCAGGAAGTGTTTCTCACTGCCTTGTTGGACCAGCCAAATGCATTTCAGATAAGATTTCAGGGTGGAGTGGAATTTAATGGGATTTAAAGCCCAGACTATGACAGGCAGTGTGGGGGGGGCGATTGGGGGGTTGGGAGTTAGAGTGTGTGAGTGTGCAAATGTGTGCGTGAGTTCTCAGATGCAGTGCAATGTTTCATGTTTTAACGATATTAATAATAATAATCCTTGCATTTGATAAACAACAACAACTTGCGCCGCTCATGCACGATGGCGACCCAGAGCACTAGACAATGGTGAAGCACGACACTGACCCCGGAGGATGGGGAGGTGACTGTAGACATGGTCAAATAGGAATGTCTTCAGGCGCAACCTGAAGATGGGGAAGCAAGAGGCAAGGCCGAGGGATAGAGGAAGAGTGTTCCAGAGTTTCAGGGTGTAGTGGTGGAAGTGCGGCCACTGATGGTGGAACGGAGGGCATGAGGGAATTGCAGGGGGTCGGAGTCAGTCGAGCGGAGGCAGCGGGTAGTGGGTTGAGGGGTAAGCAGGTTGGATAGGCAGGGAGGTGCGAGGACGTGAAGGGATTTGAAATCAATCCGTTCAGTGATAGGGAGCCAATGGAGCCTGGCGAGGACTGGGGTCATAGGATCGCGGAGCCTGGTGCGGGAGAGGACCCGGGCTGCAGAGTTCTGGACAACCTGCGGAGGGAGGAGTTGGGGAGGCCGACAAGCAGGGAGTTTGTGCAGTCGAGCCTGGATGTGATGAACATGTGGAAGAGGGTCTCGGTGGCCTGCGGTGACAGTGGCAGAGCCGGGCAATGTTACGGAGGTGGGGAAATGCGGAGCGGGTCATACCATGGATGTGGAGGATGAAGGACAGTTGAGGGTCGAACAGGAAAGCAAGGTTCCATATTGGCTCCGTGATTAGAGTGCATCCATGAAGGGTGATGCTGTCAGTGCCCAGGATACGGAGGCACTAACAGGAGCCAAGCAGGAGGGCCTCAGTCTTGTTGACATTCAACTGGAGGAAGTTAGCTCTCATCCAGGACTTGCTGTCCGACAAGCAGTGTGTGAGGACAGCAGTGGTCCCAGTCGGGAAGTGATAAGGCGTGGATGTGGGTTTCGGCTGCTGTGGGTGTGAGGTACAGACGGAGGCAGGAAATGTGGTGGAGGTGGAGAAAAGCAGTCCTGGTCAGGGAACGGATGTGAGGTAGAAAGGAAAGCTGGGGATTGAACCTGATGCCTAAGTTTCACACGGGTTTGGAGAGTCTGAGGGATAGCCCAGGGAGGTTGACGAATTCGGATCCGCAGGGGAGAAGACATTGAAAGGAGCCGAGGAGTATGGCTTCCGTCTTGACGACATTCAGCTGCAGGAAGTTTGCGCTAATCCAGGCCTTGATGTACATCACACAAGCGGACTGGGGGCCACAGCTGGAGAAGTAGATTTGGGTGTCATCCATATACACACTAGTCGACCCCATATCTGCGGATAATATCGCTAAGAGGGAGTGTATAGATGAGGAAAAGAAGGGGGCTAAGGATGGATCCTGGGGTACCCCGCAGTTGGCCGGGCGGGGGCGAGAGGAAAAGCTATTGGGCCAACATGAAGTGCTGACGGTTGATTAATTAGGACTCGAACCATATGAGTGCAGTCCCACCGAAGTGGATGAAGAGAAGAGGCGGAGAAGGAGGACGGTGTGATCGACTGTGTCGAACGCAGCAGAGAAGTCTAGGAAGACGAGGAGGCAGAGGGAGCTCTGGTCATAGAGAGAGAGGACATCATTTGTTACTTTGATGAGCGGTGTCTCTGTGCTTGGGATGGGATGGGTGGAAACCGGACTGGAGGGGCTCAGGTGGGGAGTGGAGGGCGAGGTGTGAGCGAAGCTGATTTGGAACATGTTCCAGGGCTTTGGCCAGGAAGGGTAGGTTTGAAACGGGACGGTAATGCACAAAGTTGAAGAGGTCGAGAGTAGGTTTTTGAAGAAGGGGATTGATTGGGACTGAGCCTGAGGAGCGGGACTGATTGATTGTATTTGCCAGTAGGGGGGAGAGGAGGGGAAGTCGAGCGACACGCAGCTGGATAAGGAGGGGGTCGAGGCAGCAAGTGGTGGAGGATAGGAGGGAGGAAGGAGAGATGGAGGCAAAAGGACTGTAGTTTGTGGACCGAAATAGGAGCCATGGGATGAGGAGTGGGTGATGGAGAGGGAATGGGATGGGGAGACATGGGGCAGGGGGGGAGGCAGCTAGGTGTTAACTATAATAATAATAATCATAAACATAATCTGATATAGTGCCTTATCAAGTCTTCGAGACATCTCAATGCGCTTCAAAGGACTCTGGAGCTCCATCCCACAGCCCCTCACCTCGCCCCCTCCCTTGCCTCCTTCAAGACCTGTCTCAAGACCCTCCTCTTCGAAGGTGCCTTTGGTTACCCTACAACCACTACCCCTCCCTGCCCTCCACCCCTCCTGATCCCAACCCCCTTGGAGAGAGGGAAACAATTCCTAATCTATATTGTTTTTAAGGACAATTATTTCCTTGTTCCTTGAGGATCTTTGCTCTTTCTTCCCAATCTTTGGCT